CTCTGGGTTCCTTGTGGATTGCTACCTAGGCTTTAATATCTTGAGGTTGATCCCAAGAACAGCACCTTACTGGCAGAGACTGGCACACGCATGGTTAAATGAACAAATGTTTAAACATCTTCAATTTTGGGCAGAGATAAGTCAAGAACCTTTGTGGACTTAACTCCTGCCTCTTGTTGTGTTTTTTCAGGAGTGATGAATATGGTACTAGTGTCTGAAGAAAGAACCCAAGCGCCTGATACATGCAAAAGAAAGAGGAGGAGAGGAACCATCAGACTAGGGAACCTACTCCAGCTTGAAGGAATCATGTTTGAAAATTTCCTTCATGTTTTCTCCAATAAACTCACCAGATGAGTGAAGGCAGTGAAAATCCATGGCTTGTATTTTTTTCTACCAGCACCAAAAGCAAGAAGAGACAAAGGAAGCAATTTCCATGCTATTGCATGAAGACCTATGCAAGCTGATCTGAGACAGCACGTGATTTTTGGTGTTCTTCAAAATCCACTTCCTACTGTGTGGATTTGACTAACATTTGACACCACAGTGACTGCAGTCCCCTCAGAAAAAAAAAAAATATTAGTTCCTTCTTTGATTTCCTTGCAAGCCTCAAGATTGCTCTTTGTTCCTCAGTTTCCTGTCAGAGAAGCCCATGTTTTGGTTGTACATCTGTGTGGGTGTGGGGTTATTAAACAGACACACAGCATCTCCTCTCTATTCTATATACCCAAGGAGAGGCCTCCTCAGGCAAAGAGGAAAGAAAGAGCCAAACTTCCCCAAGGAGGGAAAAAACCTGACTCCATCTTGAGAGGTTTTAAACAATTGTGATGAAGTTTTTCATGAAAGTGTTTCCTTCGATGCAATGGCTGGCCTAAGTCATCCTGAATCAGGCCTGGGTAGAGAGCGAGGAGTGTTATAGGGTGAGATTCCCATTTCATTTGCTACAGAACCTGTTAGCATGTAGAAAGTGAGTCACGAAATTAGGCTAAGGATGACTTAATAAGCCAGATAGTTAAACTCTGCTCTGGAAAGATGAATCTAATTCCTTATTAGTTCCTAAGCAGTGTCAGACAAGCCACTTGAACTAAATCGGTAAGATTAATTTCCAGGTGCTCCTTTTTCTAGACAGGGACTGGATTTACAGAAGGGATGAGCATCCACAACTGGAATTTAAATATAAGGAGCCATATAAAACTAAATTCTCTGGGGAAAGAGAGATGCTATGAATCTAAAATTTAGGATTCCTTTTAACTGAAACATGCCTGAACTTCAAAGCCCAGTTTGCAGAGTGAGATCTTACCTCACTGGGAATGACTACAGTGGCAGCGATACTTGTGTTGCACTCAGATACCAGTGTAATGACCACATTAAAGCATTCCTGAAGATCTAAGTAACTTTATTTTCAGTGTAAGAATATGCCACAAATAAAACACAAAAATGGATAAGTGAGGAACTAGCTTGGGTACTGCTGCACTGCACTCCTTAGTGTGCCCAAATACAAGAGTAAAGCAGAAAAAAAGTACGATTATGCTACTTTCCAAAATGTTTCTATCCAGTCAGGTGTTATGCTGGACCCAAATGGAGAAATCCTTCCAGAACCAGCCAGGCTGGTGCAGAGACATCTGAGCTGGTTTGGGGCACACATAGAGAGGACCTAGATCAGGTGTTATATATGATCCCTGTTATTTCAGAAAAAGATAACACACACATGAAGGAATTATGAGACCATTGATAAGATCAGCTGCATCTCCTGTGCCTGTTCAAAAGTGGCTGCAGAGAGGCTAGAGCATACTTAAGTCACCACAAACTCTTCATCTTGGAGCCAGTTTTCTGTGCACGAGCCTGGATACTCTGCAGAGAATGGTGCTCTCTCCCAGCACCAGGCCTTGGAGAGCCCAAGCCTCCTGGTGAATGCCTGACAAAAGGGTACTTCTAGAAATTGTCTCTCCTTTGTCCACAGGTATCATCCTACTCCCATTTTCACTGTATTACAATCTCAACTTCATTTTTTTTTTCTCTCCCATTACTAGCTCAGGCTGAAAGAAACAAGGCTGGAGCAGCTACTGCAGCTGGGGAGAGTTGAACAAGCTCTCAGATGTACAACACCACTACCAGGTGCTCGCTCTGGCATTTCTCCCTCCTGTCTGTCCCCTCCGCACAGTACAGTGTTTGTCTTCATTCCCCTCACCCTGCCTCGCTGCCTCGTCCTTCCTCCCTTCTCATTCTGGGAGCCCTCTCCTTTCTCCTTACCTCCTCCTTCCCCTCTCTGCATGCTGTGACTAGACAGGAGAATACAGATTTGTGTATTCCCTAGACAAGGTTCTCATTTTTTCCAGTCCATCTTTGGTTGTTGATTTCTTCTTCTCGTAGGTGAGTATCTCTTAGCTCTCTTCTTCCTCTCTGACCTTTTCTCTGCTCCTTGTAAAGCATTCTCTCCTCTCATGCTGTGAAACGTTGATGCTGTCTCATACTGTGAAATGATCTCTCTCATGCTCTCCCTTGACTATACCTCTAGCACAGTCCTCAGTGCATTCTAATGGATGCTATTTCACAATAAATACATAAGCACTGCATCAGGCTGCTGTCTTCTCTAACTGCCTATACTGATATGGTATTTTAAAGGTGCTTCTTAGAACATCAAAGATGCCTTAGCTATCTTAACATTTTCCTTCTCAGCTCTGTTGAAATTTATATAACGTAATTCTGTTTTTTTTTTTTTCATCCAGCTTGAGGTCACTAGCACACGCAGTGCTGCCCTAGCTTGCACAGCTCGGTTGCTGAGGTAGGGCTAGCTGTGTATTATTCTCCATTTCCCCTTTAAAATGCTCCATCTTTTTGAATCTCCAGCTGTCACAGTGAGATTGTGCAATCAGGTGACTTGGTGACAGGCTGGTTTGCTGCATTGTGGCATCCTCGGAGCAGCTACAGAGGTTTGTACCCAGAGCTCCCCGGGCAAGCGCGGAGGGAACGCCAGACAGCAGCCCGGGCGCTCCCGGGTTATGCAGAGCTATGCACAGCCGCGGCAGGCTTTGAGTGTGCAGCGTCTGCTGGCCCTGCCGTTCTGGGGCTGAAGGAGCAGCCTCTCAAGAGAATACCTACCTTTGACAGAGTCACTGCGGCCAGACATCTTGAGAATCCTTCATTATAATTGCTTTGGAGCCTGTACAGATCCGATGTTGCCTCATCATTTGGACCATTTATTATTGATACCACAAATGCTGAGTCATTAAACAGAGGTCATAAAAACATCCTTATTCTGCTAAAAACATTAGCTCATCATTTCTGGTACTACAGAAAGCAAGAGAGAACCAGGAATCCTTGTGCCTGCAAGAAAGAAAATGTGGACTGCATCAGGGGCCTGGGAAGACCAGAGAAGAGCCCAAAGTCAGTAGCTCCTTAGAAAAAGCAGAATGCTGGTTAAAGATGGGTCTCTGGGATCAGGATCAATTGCCATTTCTGAGTTGGTGTCACTTCAGGTTACCATTTTAACCCAGGATATGTTAATTTCTCTCTCTGTAAAAGGACAGAAATAAAAACCTCTCTCACTTCTATCTGAAGACTATAGGGCACTTCAGAGGCACTAGCCAGCTACTCCTCACTGCAGAGAGCTGCTGTTACTTCCATTTTTTCAGAGGGAAGCCAGAGGTACAGAGGAGTCATTGGTTTTCTTGCAAACCGTGGTTCAGGACTGCAATCTCCTGATTACTAATGCCAAAGAAAGCCATTTTTTTCTTGTGTTCCTGTGCTGCCTAAGAGTTAATGTAGCCAGAGAAGGGATTTTAGTTTATTTTTACTGCTTATGCTTTATTTTCTCAATCCTCTTCCTCGGGCAATTTTCTGAATCTGAAGAGGTCCTTCTGGGTGGAAAAACACATTTTGTTGAGATTATGTTTCACTATTTTAATAGTGAAGCTGCAGACAAATACTTCTTTTGATGCCTATATTTGATTTCCTTCACTGCAGGGATGTCCTGTCGGCGTCCAGATCTAACAACAGGCGCGTGGGGGTTACATCCCTCAGCTAAAAGGGGTGGGGGTGGAGTGCGGCGGTTATTTGCTTTTTTGTTCCGGATTTCTTTAGAGGAGTACGTATGAAGAACCGGTACCGCAGGCTCACCAGTCAAGGAGCGCTGTGCCACATCGTGTCCCCAGCCACAGCAAACACTTCATGCGTTTGGGGAGCTTTTTGGCAGGGTGTTCCCGACGCACACCTGAGCACACACCGACAGGGTCCGGTTCTCTCGGGGGGACGGGTCCCTCCCGTGGGTCCCTGCCGTGTTCGGGCTCTCTCCCCCCCACTGGCCTCAGGAGGGGCCCCGGGCCTGCGGACCGAGAGGAGCAGCTGCACCCCGGCTGGCGGGCGCGGGGCCAGCGCGGCGGCGCGGGGAAGGCAGTGCGAGGCAGTGCGGAAAGAGTTAAGGGAAGGTGGCGGGGCAGGCTGGCTGTCGGGAGCGAGCATGTGCAGATTGAAACCGCATCCATACTACGGGCGAGTGTCACTGGCACACTTCACCTCCCGCCGGCCGCGGGGCACCCATGGACACCGGTGAGGCCACGAGCCGCGGCGCGGCCGGCCGGGCGGGGGGGCCGAGCGGCGGCACCGGCAGCTGCCCGCGGTCGCCGCTGACCTCACGGCCGCCCCGCCGGTGGGTGCGCGGGGCCCGCGGCGGCCTCCCCGCAAGCCGAGCGGCGCGGGCGATGCGCTGCCCGGGGCGGAGGGCGGGGATGGCGCCCGGCGCCGTTGGTTTCGGTTTCTGGCGGCGGCAGGGCCGTGCCGCCCCCGCCGGGCGGGCGCCGGCCGGAGGGAGACAAAGGCGGGCGGAGAAGCACCGGCCTCCCCGCCGCCGGCGGGCCCCGCGGGGCCACCGGGCATCGCGGTGTCGCCCCCTCTCGGGGAGCGGCACTGCTCCCGCAGGCCGGGCCCTGCCGCCCGCGCAGCCCTTCGGGGCGGGGGCGCGGTGCGTGTCGCGGGGGTTTTGCTTGGGAGCCCCCGGCCCCGGCTGCGAAGTTCTCGGGGCTCTGGGGGAGCAGGGTGGAAGGGTTGTTGAAATCGAAGGTGCTTTTCACTGGAAAGTGCCTTTTTTCACAAAAGGAATGTCTTGAAACATCTTTTTGTATTGATTGCAGCAAAACTTTATTCCAGGAAAGGGGAAATAGTTCTGAGACAGCCCAGCATTTGCAGAGCAAAACTGGGAGGTGGAGGCTGGCTCTGGTCCGTTCAGCAACCTTGTGAATGACTCTTGTGTGTAAAGACCAGAGATCAGGGATACAGATAATACAATCAGCTAAAAAATGAGAGTTTTTTCTTTTTTTAAAAATTTAATCTCAGGATGTTCGCTGTTATTCAGTTTCTGGTATGGAAAAATATTCAGAATAGCTGAATTTTGGCAAAATAGAAAATTTGGTTTCTCCTGTCTGCCATTTACGCTGAGGTTTTGAAAATTGTCTCTAGGATGCTTAGGAGCAGGGATCCTGGGAGGCTGCTCTGTCTCACTCATCTTGAGCTGGAGCATCACACTGGGACTTCCTAGAGAGCGTTTTGCATTGCTGGCCCAAAACTACTGGGGATGTACAAACTTGTTAAGCCTCCTAATTACACAGCAGACGCAGTAAAACTCTGTTATGTGAAGTACTTCATATTGTTCTCTGGCATTGTTTGTTTGACAGGTTTGTCCTGTTTCCCTCTTAATTCTGCAAAAAAAGCAGTCCCTGCAGGAGCTGATTTTTTTTGCAGGCAGGGTGGTAACAGCTCCGTGACTGCCAGAGCTGTGTGCGTTGGGGATTTGCAAGAATAGATTGCCCAAAGAGCTCCGTTCTGGGGTTTCCAGGAACACAAATGCAATAATAATATATGTACAGCATCAGCTAGAGATGGGGCTAGCTGCCATTTGGTGGTAAATAGGAAGTCATGGAAACAAAAACTACCATAAATTATTAGGAAACAGAAAAGGAAGACTTATTGACATGGAATCCTTAATGCCTGTAGCCACTTCCAGCCAACACTGAGGAAAACTGTAGAAAGTCTGTAAGGTACTCTGATGCCTGTGACAAGTCCTGAAGGTCCTTCCTGAATCCCAGTGCCTAGGCCCTGTGAGAAGGTATGACCTCTTCCATGCAGGAATGTTGGTTTTTCTGTGTTAGTTGACAGCAGCTTGCTACTGTGGATAATTAAGATTGTTCACTTAATTTGAAAGTAGGTATTTTCTCCCTGAGAAATAAATGCTTTTTGTGCATATATCTGAAAATTTTTTAGTTCTGTGTTGAGGCCCCACTGAAGAACATGGGTGTCTCCCAGTTTGTAGAAGGGGACACTGAGGTACAGGCATTTCACAGGTAGATGTCAAATTGAAAGAGGAGTTAACTCCAAATAATTTGGTTTAACTAGTAGCTATAGCAGCTTCCTAAACAAAGATCGGCTGAACTGTTAACAAGCAGCTTATTCAATGTCTGTGAAACATCCTGAGATCCTCTGATCACAGGCGTATTGAAGAGGGGGGATAGCATAGTCTAGTGGAAAGGAAATGGAGGGACAAGCAGATATTGAGGTAGTACTGCTTGTGACTGTATAACTTCTTGCTGAGGCTCTGGCAACACATCCATAGACGTGGTCGGTATTGCTGTTCCCACTCTGCTGCAGGCTGATGGTGCAGGAAGAAAACAAGCTGCTTCCTTGAAGAGTTCAAGCCTTGGCATTCTTGTGGCAAGATCCTGTGGCAGTTTACGAAATTGTCAAGGGGGTCTAAAACAAGAGGTATGGATAGCGTAGACATGTGGGTTGAGGGTAACCTAGATCTCTGCATCCATATGGAAGTAATACTTGGTAGTGGGGACTCTGCAGTTTCACTGACAATGTCATAATGAGATGTGATGCCAAACAGGGAAAGGCAAATTTAACCTTGAAGGGAGATGCAGGCTTCTGACTTTGAGTGTGACAGGAAGAGGTTTTTGGGTAAGGTAATGAACTCAATAGCAGTGGAGCCTTTAAATTAAGATATCTTTTTACAGTCTATGCTTTAATTCAGCATCTTGGAGAAGTCCTAAGGAGTGAAGATGTAGGGATCCCTTTGGCCTTGTAATTTGTAAATCCGTTTATTCCCACACATCAAGAGCTGGGGAGAGGAGTTGTTTTCCAGCGCCATAAATGTGCTTCTAGTGCCTGACCACTTGGTTAAGACAATGACTGTCCTCAGGAGATCAGGTGTTTCAGGGCTGCTGGCAGGCACTGCATTGTGTCCAGGAAGGGTGTTTCTTCTCATGGTGTAATTAGCCAGATTAATTTAATTTTTGCCTTCCCCTAAAGCATTAGAAGTGAACTGAAACCGGGGACTAAGCATACCAGGAAGAAGGACGTCTGGGGGGAAAGTGGGGGAGAGGGAGAGGAGACTGTGCACTCTTCCCGAGTTGGGGGAAGACCCCCAACTTTTTGCTATCTTCACGTTTTGTTTGTATCCTCAGAACTGTAGCTATTGCAGAATCTGGGGCCAGGCTTTGTAGGTTTTCTCTTTGCAGCATGGGATCAGTCACTAAAGGTCATCTGTGTGACACTCATTTGAACAGTCCTTTGCCAGTTTTAGACTTGCCACCATAGCTGTGATGTGGTTTTTTGTGCTCTTTGTTCATGGTATGCACATCTAATCTCCTTAGACTAAAGGACTTCTGTCCTTATCCAAGTTGCTGAGCTGTGTTGCAAGAAACTGCATGAAATTTTAATAAAATGATATGCAGGAGGTTTGACTAGGTTTTAGGCAAAGGAGTCCTTTCTGTTCTTAAACTGACAGTGAATAGAAGTTTTTCCTCATGGAAGATGATTGGAAAGCATCCTGAAAAAGCTTCTAAAAAGGAGAAGCTTAATATATTGGGGAGGCTTAAAGAGTGGTGGCATAGAGGAGACCTTTTTGTTCTGATGATGAAATCATAGAAATAATGGGAGATGTTATTGTTGCAAATTGTACCTTTGTCTTCAACAAATGCCATGTTTAAGAAAACAGAATTAAGTTTTGTTGTTTTGTTTTGTTTCTTTTTTCAGTCTCAAGCAGCCTGCTATTACATGGTAAGAGGAGAGGTAATGATGTGGCTAATTAAAGGGCAGCAGTGCTTCATTCCTTAGAGCTTTTTATTCTGTAGAAAATGGGTCAATTACTTAGAGAAATTGTTTGCCAACAGGAGGCAGGAAAAGCCTTTATTCCCACTCCTCACCTTCCTTTTGTGAGAAGCACTGCCTACCTCCATAGCAGTTGCAGTACCTTGCTAAGCTTTCAGATGTCAGAGCCATGTCCTGCAGATGGGGAAATGATGAGCAAACTTGTATGTGGTCCCTTCTGTTCTGTGTGTGCCTCTCTAGCTGCAAATGAAGCAGTGTCCAACAGTGTTCCTGGGTTGTTCCTGGGGTGAAAGAGGTGAAGTTGAACAATACAAGTTCAACTTGTATTGTTCTGATTCAAAACAAAATTTGCTTAAGGTGAAAGGTGAAGTATGGCATATTTCCTTGCTTCCTTTGAAAGAAGTTTGATCATCTAGTTAGCTAATGTTTTCCAGCACAGAAGGTATTACCTGCTTGTGGCTTGCTTGGTACAGGTTTGTAAATGATCCCTTTTTGCTTCCCAGATCTGCTTCCTGTATGTGTTTTAGTATTCTCTGATGACTTTATCACCTGACTATGTTGCTTGCCCTTAGCTCTACAGGCTGAGGTGTAGACTGGGCGGGGGAGCAGAGGGCTGGTTAGCCTTGTACGTCAGACATAAACTGGTCTGCTTCTCACATTTCTGTGATGATACGTGAGGCAGGAGTATGCAGATGGTTCCTGAGCTCCTAGGTAGGGTGGTTGTGCAGGCGACTACAAGGAGTCTTGAAAGAAAGCCAGAGTGGGCAAAGGCTTTGGCTCTGCAGGAACAGATTACCAACATCTGTGCCAATTTGGAACAACGCTCTCTTTCTGGTTAGTCAGAGCCCTACATTCCTGGTTGTAAATGATACACCCAATAATGTCTAGTGTGAGCCAGAGTCTATGCGCCTCACAGTCCAGCTAAAATGAGTGTAAAAGACTTTGCAGGTACATGCTGCTCTTTAACACATCCTTAGAGGCAGCTAGACTGCTTTAGAGGTTGGTTTGTAGGCATATCTGAATGAGCATACCTATCAGTTACTATGTCAGAAGTGTCTAATGATTGCATAAAAGAGGGAAGTGTTTTATGTTACCCTTTTGTTTTGTTCTGGATTTTTATTGGTGTCAGTGCACAAGAGTTCACCACAACCTTATTTCAAAACTCCCCCGCCCTCACATGCTTCTGTCAAAGCTGGATTAAATGACTGAGGGAATCTTCCCTACCACAAATGCTGCTGTCTTGCTTTCATTGCATAAGATCCAAGCATTAGTAGTCACTAGGTAAGTGTTTATATCATAGCCTGGTGAAGCTGCTGTTTGACTCCTTCCTTGCTGGATCTTTGCTCTCAGGTGTGCCATATACTGAAGGTAGCCTGTATGAAAAATTTCTCTGGAGTACCTTTCTGTCCTGTTTTCTCTGATTCTGCTGGGAGCATGAGGATGATGAAGTACTTCTGAAGGGGGAAGTCTCTCTTTAGTGTGGGTAGCTGTGGCATAGTGCTGTGTGTACTGCCAAGTGCCTTCTGGGGATGGGGAGTCTGTTTTGATTTTTTTCATTGTGAATACATGCATATGCTGGTGGAGCCAAACTCATTTGGCTCCAGCAGCCTAGTCTGGGCTAAGTCTTGGCTGTGGCTGTGCCTATTCAGAGCTCTCGGTGAAATTGTTTGTCTCTGCTTATGGCAGAGTGTGCCTGATGATAGTGGTATATTTGGCTGTTTCCTCTCCTGCTAACCAACATAGGAAAGCCGGGACACTTGCTTAACACACGGGACACTTTGACCCACGTATTTTCTTTGTATTTTTTGTCAGCAGAGGTTTATGGTAAGGATGCTTTCCAGTAAGTTCTAGAGAAAGAGTTATTTCTTTTTGTCATTTCTGGTATTTTCAAGATGTGTACAGTTTCCCCTAGTGGCATGATACATACCATGTGATTTGGTTTATTTTGATCCAGCAGTTCTTTCCAAGGCAGATCTCACAATTAATCTTTTAATTGGAAGTGGACTTGCACAAGAGCTGCAGGATGTAGGGCACAGTTTATAAAAATGCCCGAATGTCTACTATGAAGAGAGGAGCTGCTGTGAAGGTAATGTAATGATTCTTCAGCAATGTTGAGCTTGGCTATTGTTGCTTTTGGTTTTCCTTTGCCTCTTAATACTTTACCATGGAGATGAGATATTGAGTTTCCAAAACATCAGCCTCAGCCACTTGAGCTGACAGAGGTTAGCATGGTATTTAAGAGCACTCTGAGCAGCTAAGCACTTTTCATTCTATGCAATGGAACACTCAGGTGCATATATAAAGAAGGCAGTTCATTATGTTATATTATATGCCATATAACCTGTGGATTTACAAAAGGTTTACTTCTAGAATCTAAGTCCTCCTGTTATATTGTTGGAAACAATGCCTCACTTTAGTGTTTTTTTTATAAAGCATTACTGCTCACCAGAAAGGCAATTAAACGCTTACTTTTTCATAGATTAGCTAGAGTGTAATTAGTTTTCAAAGATCAGATCAATAACTAGAGCATGTTGATTTCTAAAAAGGTCATGCATGCACATTTTCTGATTTCCCTCTGATTTTTATGGTACAAACTCCAAGAACTGCAATAATGCTTAGTACTCCAACTTCAAGTTGGGATATGCTGCCGTGTGTGTGGGGTGGTGGGAGTAGGTTTTTGTTTTCTTTTTTTCTTTTCCCNAAGGTGGGAAAGTGTCCCATTCTGATGCGAAAAATGTAGTTTTCTTGGTTTGAGATCCTTGTTTGAGAAACAAGGACTGGACAATGTCATGACAATGATGAAAATTTGCTATGCTTTGGACCAGGGCTTAGCAACATTTGGGGTATTAAAAAGCTGTAAGTGCTAACACCAGCACTTCCACTGCATCTTTCATTTGAGAATCTCTCTATTCTTAATAAATTTTCACTGTGTCTCTGTGAGGCTGGTATTATTAGTGTCATTTTGAAGACAAGTAGATATAAAATGCTTGTATAAGCACATTCAGCAAACCAGAAAAAGGCAGGAATAAAAATCAGGAATACTAATGTTTTGACTTGTTTTTGAGGTACAATCTTGTACTTTCTTTTTTTTTTTTTTTTTTTCAGAAAATAGACTCAAGGCATTAATTTTGGTAGCTTTTTTCTCCCCTTTTTTCCCATTGGGTTAGGCTGCATAAAAGTGAGACATTATTATGCAACATATCTAAGTGTGCATGTGATACTTGAAAAAATGGTAATCAGATAAGTTGCCAGGCAACAGTACCCTGCCTTCAATTACCAAAAAGCCAATGAGTGTGCTTTCATGATGTAACATGTGCTCTCCACTTCTTCATAAAGAAAGTGTAGGTGGAGTTTTGTAAGAGTTGCTCCTTTTTAACACATCTCCTGCTTAACCTGCCATATTGCAAGATCAGATTTGACACCAGTTTTATAGAAAGGTATTCACAGAACCTGAAATCAACAACAACAACAACAAGTTACATGAGCTCTTAAAGATAATGAAAGGTACGTGAATAAATATGAGTAAATAACCATCCCGTCCTATAGCTCATTCTTGAGACTGTGAAAAATAAGAAAATGCACAAGAGATTTATGTTAAAAGGTAGATGGCAGGAATACATGGCAAGCTGTGAGAAGTCTTAAAGTGTTCAGAGTGGCCCATTGGCCCAAAAATGTTGAGAGCCGTGGTAATGCATGAAAACATGAATGTAAACCCAGCTGGTTCATTTTGATTGCCTTAGCAGGAGCAGAATGAAAGAAACATAAGCAGGGATGAGTGTACACAGAGGGAAAAAAAAAAGCGAGACTAATAATGTCAGACAGATCTAGGAGCATGAGGGAATTGGATTGTGTGTTTGTTTGAAACCTGAGTTTAATTTTTTTTTTAAAGAGGTTGCAAGATAGCAACAAAAAATAAAGACTCTTCGCAGTTATTTTAAATGCATTTTTGCTTTTGGCAGTAAATAGCCACAGAAGCATTTGCAGATACTGTAGTTGTATGGGGATGCCATGCATCTGCCCAAGCCTCTTCAACTACTGGGTGGTGGCATGGCTTTTAAAAGAAATCTGAACCTCTGGAGGTCTAATGTGCTTCTCGGGGCTTTGACAGAAGTTTGGAGTAGAGACAGGGGACCCACCTGGATGTATCTGGGAAAGGATGCACATAACCTTGGAAATCACTTGTTTTCCTTGAGTAACTGCAAGTTTTTGCTTTCCAGAGTTGGTTTTTCAATTATTTTGTTGTTGTTGTTCCAGAAGGAACAAAAGACATTTTCATTTCAAGACGTGGGGGACTGTGTAGCAGTGCGTGCCCCAGGTGTCCCTCTGAGGTAGTTCAGTCCAGTGTAGGAATAGGTTCAAAAGGCCTCATCAAAAGCCATGGTGGGACTTCATTTGAAAGGGAAATCTGCATCACCCTCTGTGCAAGTCCTGCCAGAGCAGGATGAGTTTCTGAGAAGACACATGCTCACTTTCTACTTCCAAATTTGGCACTTTTTCCCCAGAAGAATCCCAGATAAGTCATGGAGCAGTGTTGTGACTTGGTTTCTTTGTTGGACAGTTTATCGCTGGATAGGTGCATGGATCCGAGCTTTCTTTTTAGAGCCCTGTGGAAATAATGAAGAAGTGTAAATACTAAAATAGACAGTTGAAGGGACACACTACTAACCAATTTCCAGTCAGGAATTTGCTTTCCTTTTTGTTTGTTTGTTCTTTGTATTCTCATTTGATGAGCACTACTGCTAAATTATGCTCATGTGCAGTCCCCAGCCTGCTGACACGAGGAATGTTGGTGTCTATGTTAGAGGAACAGTCAGAACATGGGCAAGTTTTGGGAAGCCTGAGGTTTTAGGTTTTAACTATTTTTATATAGGTAATTGAATGGTCGCACTGTGATTGTTGGGAGTTTATTTGTTTTTTCCCTCTATGATAAACATTACACATTTTTAATCATTAGTATTTTTACACAGAAAGTTCATTTATATACAAAAGGAAAAACAAATCCTCTTTTCTGAACACCTTAATCTTTGTATTAATCATGTGAGCTTTAAGGTTGAACCTTTCTCTTCAGCTCTACTGCTCTGCTCATGTGTATTATGACATAGTCTTTGCTAATAAAGGTTTTCTTCAATGAGTATTTTCTTTCAAGTGCAGATACATGTGTGGCTAAAAGTATAGTTTATCAATACTTGGAGTTCATAGAAATGAAGTATTTTGTGAAAGAAGAACTTCTTGCTGCTAATTGGTGTGCTGTGAGCCAAATCTGGGAGGTGATACAGCTGAGAACTAACAGGCATTAGGGTAACATGGGTGTAGCATTCAGATGGCTGATGAGTTCCTTGATCTGGTTCCAGGTGAAGCCCCATGGATGGCCTGAGTGCCCATGCCAGGAAAAGGGGTGAATTGAGTGGAACTGCATTGTCCTAATGTTAGATTGGCCTGAAACCTTTTGTAATGTTCATATTTCTTGTTGAAGGAGTTGGGAGTGTGTTGCAATTGCTTATTTTGTATGAGTTTGTTCTTCAGTCTTTTACATATCAAATTATATACACGTATATCTGACTATGTAAAAGACATTCTCAGTGTTCTTGTGATTCTAGGCAAATGCTTTTAAAAATTTTGTTTGCATGTGTCTGATAAAGAGCTCAGTAGAAACCTATATCCAATGGTGACAAAATGCGTATAATGAAAATAGATAACATGCAAATAATTTTTAGGAACATCAAAATGACAGTAATTTATACCAAAGCTAGATAACAAACAAGTTCTTTCCCAGTCTGATATACAAATACCTAGCTGTTGAAGTAGAAACTAATTCTCATGATAAGAGAGACTCCAAAGTAGATACAAGCCTTGGTGGATAGACAGAAGGTGCTAAATGTGTCTCTATAATACCCATGTTACATTGATTTAATTAGTGGTTTTATGCTATTCATTGCTTTGTTAATCTTGGTGAGAAGGTTTTTTTGGGAGGATTAGTTATTTAATCTGCATTTTTAATTGGAGTGTTTTTGTAGTACAGTGTCATGTAAGTAAAAACAGTGTAGGTGTGGTTTTTGTTTTGTTGTGTTTTTTTTTTTAAGAAAACATTTCTCTTGAATTCCTCTTGGACTTTGGTGCTCAAAACCTCTGAGATTCAGTACGATAGTGTGAAGAGCTCATTTGTTACACAGTGTCACTTGTTACACTTGTTAAAGCAAGTGTCCTTGCTTTAACTTCTTCATATGCAATTAATCCAGAAAAATGCTAGGTATAGACAAGTACTTGGATTTTAGGGAGGCAAAGTTAGGAGAAAGAGGATGGGGGTGAAAAGGAGTAAACAGTGAGGCTTACTTAAAAAATTGAGGGATTGGCTGGGAAAATAGAGATAAAGTAATTTCTGACAGACCCTTGAAGGGTTAACTGAGACCTTGGCTGACATGGGGTAGCAGTGAAACTTTGGTCACTGGCTCCAGTGAAGTTGCTCCATGTGTTTGCTGTGGCTGAAGTGAAGAGTAGAAAGGCTCAGCCTCACCAGAGGAGAGGCAGCTGTCAGGGAGCTGCCCTGGGCAAGGGGCTGGTACAGGTGCTCGTCTGCAGGCTCTGAAGAAGTCAGGTCTTCCAGGGCCTAGTGTACTGGAGCTAAGCTATCCACACTCATAGCTCTTTCAGTGTTTAAAGCCTCTCTTGCATTGTGCTATGTTAAGATTAAACTGTACTTCTTTGGTTTAGGAAGGCTGTCTGGTTGGTGTATTAGCTGTTGGTCACATACACCTGGTCTGAAAGCGACTGGCGTCTGAAACACCTTGGACCTGCCAAAGGCAACCTAGTCTACCTGTGGATGCTGTGAACTAGGAGCTGACCAAAAAGTAGGAGAGCTCCAGGATCCATCCCTGGAAAAGGTAAGGTCTGGAGGGTAAAACTGGTTGGACTGCACTTGTAGACCAGAAGAACAGAGCAGTTCTCTGAGTACAGAGCTGACTGCATTGTAGATGAGACTTTGACATTTAAGTATGTAGACTGTGAAGTTATTTCCTTCGGTTTAGACTACAAGTTCTTTTCTGGAGGTGTAAAATCTCCATTTGCCTACATCACCCTTGTTTTCTGTTTACTTTGAGTCTCATCATTCTGATTGCTTGTAGTTTATACTGCCAAACTTTTCAGTGTTATTGTCTCTTTAAAACCTCACACTCTGTTAGCCTTAGGCAGTTAAAACAATCAGGACAGTGGAACAGTATCTCTGAGCTAAACCAGAGCAGTAGGTAAAGAACCGAGGGTTGTTCTCTCCTGTAAAAGCACAGGTGTGAGTCGGATGATGAGGAATCTATTCCTGGCCCTAACAAGCAGTGCAGTCTCTGCACCTGATTCACCAGTGTGTTACTCTACTAATCTTTTTAGCCTCATCTTGCCACTCTCTTGAGTGCTGTGGCAGTCTGTTACATTTGCACAGACTGCATGTAAAATGCTATCAAATTGAAAGGATGAGAAAACTTGATATTGATTCTGGTAGATGAGCTGGACATTGTGGGACCAGAACAACAATCTCCAGACCCTGCAGCATTTTTTGCACGCTCTGTGTGTCTGCAGTATGTGGTGTGGTGCCCTCGCAGGATGTTAATCATGCTCTGATACAGCATGCAAGGGTTCAGGCTACAGTATTGTTTTCTCTATTGTAGATAAGGTTTCATGGGTGGGTTGTGCACAGTCCTTTAACTGGGAACTCACTTTGAATATATAGGTGCTACATGTATAAAATTCAGATACATGTAGCACCTTCCTCCCTCAGCCCGTCCTGTCTGTGGTGTCTCATTACCTTCTCTTGTAGTAGTGCCCAAGAGATGCTACATTGGGGTATTCTGTTCTTCCACTGTTGTGGGTATTCTTGCTGATAGACCCCTGTCCCTCTCTGAGACAGTCAGCTGCTGAAGGAAAGCAGCAGACTTAATTGTGGCAGTGCTAACGGTGTGGATAAGCAGGGTCAGCTGCTGCCTCGAGCTCCAGCTGTGATTTTGCTGCCCATTGTGCAGCTGAATACAGGGCTTCAGTTGTTCATCAAGTGTCATCTGTTGAACAGTAAAGTCCAGACCAGTGCTGCAAAGTTATGACAAAGCAAGTGTCAGCAGCTTCCCGAGAAGGCTGCTGGTGATGAACTGAGCCTTGTATGAGCCCAGCAGTTTTGTCAGTGATGCAGTCATGAGTATTTCTGAAGAAAGCTGTGTCTGGCAAGTGCTCTGCTGTATGGTACTAATGCTGTGAGTAGAGCAAATGCTGCTTCTTGCCTGCCCTCAGGAACCATCAAAGAAAGTGCAGAAGTCTCCTATTGCTGTTATAACAAAAAACGGAGTGCCATATGGGCACATAGAAAACATAGATCCATTGGCAGCAGAACAAGACTATGAATTATTCATTCCTCCAATGCCTCCTGTATGTTCCATCTACTCAGGCTGTTCAGGATGCTGTCTGCTGGAGTTGCAGACAGATCTGCTGCCAAAGTCATGGGGGCATGACCCTGCAGACTGTGATCACCACTCCGTTCAGCTTGTGCTTGATGAAACTGGCTTGGGCATTGTGACATGTTAAGAACATAGAAGTAACCTTTGAGCACCCCATGGGCTGTTGGTAGGAATTCTTGTAACACCAGTGAATCTAGGATGCATCTGGTAATGCCAGCCTGGAATTGTCTGTGAGGTGAGGGCAATGAGTTAGGACCAAGATGAAAGCCCTACCTGCTCTGGCCCATTATGCAAAAGGGAGGTAGGAGGGCTGCATCTTTTGTGTAGTATTGCTTTGGGTTTTCTAAGAGAACTTATGCTATGTCACTTTGTTCCTAGCTCTGTCTTGCTGAGAAGCCAAAGTGTCCTCTGCTAAAAGTTCCCTGAGCACAGGCAGGATTTTTCTGTCCATGCAGAGTGCTTTAGTGGAGAGGAGTGTATTTTTATGTCTGTTTGGGAACATGAGAAACACTTAGTTTTTCTCAACTCATTGACTAGTGGGCATTTTTCTGTGTAATGGTTGTCAATTGGCAGCTGAATGAGAGAGGCACTGAGGACTTATGAACCTGCAGAGACTAAATTCTCCTCCAACTCTTCCATGAACTGCTCTGAGCTCAGGTAAGAGGTGCCTAGTGTGAGAGAAGGTGTTGCTGTTGGTTTGTTCAGAGGCTGTTCTTCAGCATAAAATGCACATACTTAGATGCAGAGGAGTTTTATTTTTTTTTGCTTTTTCCTTCCTAGTGATTGGTATGAAGATTCCTTCAGCCACTTCACATATCCAAGCTGTACCATGCATGCCATACTGCAGATTTTTGAGCATTTTTCCCTATTTTCCTTCTACAGCTTTTAGAGTTGCTCTTGGCTATTAGGCTTTTGCTGAGAGTTGTTCAGATTTTTAGTGCAGGAAAAGCTACCTGTAACTAGCAACAGCTGTAGAAATGATGGGCTTCTTAAAGGAAAAATGTAACCCTTGCATTTACAGCTGTCTTGTAATGTGCCCTACTCCATTTTGAGAGCACTTCAAATGTTCTTAAGAGCTTTGCGGAAAGGAAGAAAATGTAACTAGTCAAAATAAGACACTGTAACTTGTGTTCAGAACAGTTTTCAGCTTCTCGTTATGTCAGCTAGATGGATTTGCCCTAGAGTGAGTCACCTCTGGAGTAGTCCAGAAGCTGAGGGAAGGTGTGGAGGCTAAGATAAAATCCCAGACTGCGTTTGAAGAACCTCACTGAAAGAAGTGGTGAAAGCATCCAGGGGGAAGACTGCTGAGCTGGGTTTAGAGGCTGTGTAGGTTTCACAAAGAGAGCTGTCAAGGACGAAAGGATTGCCTCTGAAGCAGGTAAAACGTGTTTGTCGTCCTGTGGTCTTGACCAAAGTAAGAAGGTGATAAACTGGAAGCATACATTTTTATTTTGTTTTTAATCAGTGAAAGAAATAGACAGACAGAGCAGGCAATGGATTTGTGGTTTCCATAGTGATGTAGCTGTGGAAGCTTTTGTATGGCTGAGCTTTGCCCTCACTGCAGTCACACTTGAAGGCTGTGAGTGTTCAGGGAAATGTAAATATACATCAAACATGGCAGTGGCTGAAAATGCAACTGCATCTTCATGATTTGTTATGTTTGCTATGTTATCTGAATATGTGCATGTTCAGAAGCTCAGCTTATTTCTTCTTTATCTGAAACAGTGCATCAAACTATATTGATACCACAGTTCTTGCTGCACCAGGCAGTGATACGTTGACCTTTGTCCTTTGCTTTCTCTCCCGTACTTTCCCACACATCCCAGAACACTGATGCCTGTGACTCTGCACCTACACTGATTTCACACAAGCGCTAATCAGGAAATGTACACCTAACTCTTTCAGGGCATGCTAACTGATCAGAGTACGCCTTGTGAAACTTGCAAAGTGTACTTCCTGCTGTTCTTAGCCATCAACTTGCTTGTTCCTGTCATCTGACATTAAATCATGCTTTATTTTAATGGCCACTTTGAGCGTGTTTTAACAGTCAAAATACATGACCCTTGGAGAATATTTGCATATGGAGACAGCTGTTTATGACTGTGAATGGTTGAATTTAAGAGCCTTTTATTCTGGCTTTCAAGACAAGCTGGAGGTGGAATTTTTCAGTTTCTTAGTGATGAGATTACCAGTGGTAATCTTAGAGATAGAGGAATGAAAATGCTCAATGTGAATGCTGGATGCATACATCAGACAGTTAGGTGCCTGCTAGTCCTGCATACCCACTTACATAGTTTAGTCTTTGTGGTTCACAGGCATTGTGCTTTGTCTTCTTCCCTTTTACTGTAGTGATGCTGGATGCTTCTCTTGCTGTCTCCCTAAACAAATCTCCCTTACCTTCAGCATTTGTTTTGCTTGTCTAATGGATGTAATGGGTCATCTGTTCCCTTTATAGAAAGGAACGTTAATTATTTTCAGAAGGCTAATTAGGTTGCTAATGAGAAGCTCTACTGCAGAAATATTACCTTTAATTACTCATTCTTAAGTGCTGTACAGAGAAGCTTATTGAATATGCTGTTAAGTACAAATTCTTGTATCTGGCTTAGAGATGCTCCTTCAGGCTCCCAGAAAGAAATACTTTGGTCAACTTGGGAATCCGTGTGACACAGATGACTGAGCAAATGAGACTGGTGCTGAGAGCTGCCTAGTCATGCAGCCTTTTGACTCAGTGTCAATTTTGTGCTTCTGTGACTGGCTGCAGTTGCTCTTTGTATTCCAGTTTTGCTTGATGACTTTTGTTGGTATTGGTAACCAATTGTGCTACTTGCCAAGCCAATCTATAATTAGTTGCAGCCCTCACACCAAATAGTTTAGTCTAATTATCCAGATGGTAGCCAGAAGCACATAGAGGTGCAGTGACTTGTCCAAGGTCACGTTGCAGATCACGACAAACCTAGTAATAAAGCAGAGGTTTTGTCAGTCCTGTGTTAGTGCACTGCACTGTTTGGCCCCTTGTGTCTCTCTTAGGGCCAGCAAAGCTCACAAGACTTGCATCAGTTTGGATATGGCTTCATGAGGCAGCACAGCTGCTCAACAACCTCATCCATGTATCTACCTTGGCACTGACTTAGGAAGGTCCTTTTGCTTCTCCATCTGAGTCCTGGCTTCTAGTTGCTTCACTCCTTTTTTTCACCCTTTGTTGTAGAGATCTCAGTGCCTTTTAGAATTGTCCTGGGAGAGCTACTATATTCTGGATGATGTTTTAGTACTCCCAGATGAGAGTTGGGGTGGATCTCTAACTTTCCCTGCTTTTTGAGTCCTAGGCCTTCATGAAGCTCTGCAGAAGAGCTTTGCTTTTTTGTAGCATCCCCTGATGTCCAGTCCAATTCCTGAATCCGCTCTTAGCCAGACTCTTGGAATTCTTTACACACGGTGGCTCTCCCAGGGAA